AATGGTTAAAACTAAGGAGAGGAAAATATAGAACAAGAACTGAAAAATAGGTAAGCAGTTGATTAAAAGAGAACATATGCTTATTTTCGAAAGCTATTGTTTTGGGTCAAATTGATAGGATAGTTCTAATTTCAGGTTTTCAGTAATACTTTAAATATTAAAAAAAAGCCCACCACAGTTTCTCAAAAGAAGCTTGTAAATAGTATGAAGTTGGAAAGTTATGTTAACGCAATGGGAACATCCTCATAAAAAATTGGATAATCTCAAAAGCTCTAATGATAGAAATAGGGTGAAAGAGTCATAGGATCATGCAGTAAGGAACAAAACCAAGAATTCATCCCTCAGGCTGTCACTCAGAAGTGACAGAGGAGGAGGAAAACCTCTTAATTACAACAGCTGTGAGTGACCAATGTGGTGTGTTATTACAAAAACCAAAAAAAGAAAACATGTTTTTATCAGTCATTGAGCTAGGCATTTCCAATCCAGGTAGATTTAGCATGGATCTAGATGAGAGATACTGTCAGTCTCCTCCACTCTTTCTGTTTTTGTTTAACAGTTGTTGACTATCTTCCATTAAGCAAAGTTAGGTTTTTCTCTTAAACTGGGAAAATTTAGGGTCTCCTATCTGTTCCAGAATCTGCTGTGAACATAGAAGGTTCAGATAGTGCATAAAATCAGCCTTAATATATGATATGTGATATATGATACATGTCTTTATATATCCCTAGTGCATACATCTGCATTTTCTGGCAGTGTAGCTGGTGGCTGAACAATGTAAGCAAAGAAAGTTTGTAGCGAAAGCTAATACTTTTATTAAGCAAACTATGAAAGAAAAATAAACTAGCTGAAGAAGAGCACGTGTCCTGAAACCTGTGGCGGTTTTTTCCCCCCCTACATCTGTCTTAGATACCGTAATAAGATGTATTGCTTCTCCTTTAATATCATCTTGTACAAGTTTATACTTCATGCTTAGCCTATGGGCCCTGCTGTTTTACTGAGCTTCTCCCAGTAAAATGGCAATATTCTTCAGTCTCAGCCTGAGAATTTGTTGCACAGTACTGACACTGTTGACACACCATGTAGCTTATAGTCCGGTATGCATAATTACATTAAAATATAGTACCAGTTCTCTGAAGCTTTTATAATGTGATGCACCTATTCACACTCAGGTTTATGGAAATTAAAAGACAGTAGTGATTGCCCATATAGTCTTTAATAAATATGCCAGTCCTATTAGATTTCATCATTGAAATCTTTCCATAATCCTAAGAAAAGGAGCAGTTTTGAGCTTTTGCATAGCAAAGCAAGTATGATCATATGGTGACTTACCTCAAAGTCAGAGTTACTGTTTATTTCTGTAATCAATTCTCTTTTCTTTTGCCAGAGTGAAGTGAATAGAATATAAAACATCTCCTTTTTGAATTAAATTACTTTGTCAGTTTCGAAGACTCTTAGTTATTTTCAGAAAGACACCTTTAGTACATGGCACTTAGAAAAATTGCATTCATTTAACTTAAAGTATTTGACTAAATTTCCAAGTGATTTTATTCTTTATTAATTAAGTATTAGTTCCTGATCAAAAATACAAAGTAAAAAATATTAGAAAGCTGAAGCATGGAATATATGTCATTAAGAAAAGAACTGCAGAAGACCCCAATATTAAGATAAAAGTATATTGAAATATAAAGCTTTATTTCTGGTACAAATAAAACCTGACAGATGGAAGAGCTCCTTTAGTAAACAAGCACTACTAAGTGCGTTTTGCCAGCACTTTATTCAAGTCAAAAATCAACTGAGCTTGAATCAGTAAAATGGCTAAGGTACCAAAACTGTAACAACACTGTAACGAGTTTTTGGATCTACACTTGCTCACAGCTCATCAGCTGAGGACACAGTGTAGCAATTGTGTGTGCGCTCACTTATGAGTTAGACCCTTAGTGACAAATGAAGACAAGAGTTTTGTTATTAACCTTTAGTCTTGTGTGCAAGCCACTTCTTCCTATTGCGTTTCATAGGGATGGAATCTTGATCCACCAAAGTCTGCTTTCAGTAGGAAGATTAAGGTCAAGCAGTCTTCATCAGATTGTGTGTGGAGTTTGTCTAGCCATATGCATATGTCTAGGTTCTTAGGGTGTTCGAGCTTTGTATGACTTGTGACATTAATCTCTGAAACAGTCATAGGCTTGGAGTTAAGAAACTTTTGCAGTTTATGTATTGAAATAATTAATTAATATAATCTTTTAACCTTGAGATCATAGAAAATGGAAGAAGGTTTTTCAGACCAATACTTCTGTGTTGTCTGAGGCCTGCTTCACCATGAAGTACATAAAACTGCAAATAAGTCATGAAGATACTTTTGCTGTGTTGGAGTTAAGAAAAGGTACTGTTCAGCCATTAGGTGCAAGCAAAATTGTTTTTTTATTCACTTTATTGCTGACTTAGAGATTACTAGTAAAATAGTTCCTGTCAGTCCTATCAAACTGTTCACAGCCCTATCAAACTAAGCCACTACTGAAACAGAAATTCAAATGGAATCCTAGATTTGATTTCACTGTAAATTTTCTACATAAAATAATTTTATTCTTCTGAGTAGAATCTGAAAATTCTGGACTTATGAACCATTTAGCTAGATCTTTTTCAGTCTTCTACAGAGGAAGGTTACACCTGCTCTGGAAGTACCTCTCTGTGTTGAGGGAGGGAGAGCAGCTCCCAGGTGGCAGGAAGTGTCAAGAGGAGGAAGAAGCAGGAAGCAAGAGGAAGAGGAGAGCCTTCAGTGTAGCACTGGAACCGAGGAATCAGTGGGACAAGGATGGAGCAGAGAGAGCTAAGCCTTTGTAGCAACAGAAACTTTCCAAGGACAGCAGGCAACTACCTAATTGATTACAAACCAACAGCTATATTATATGAAACCTGAATGCAAATTTACAACATGCAAAAGGGCAGGTACAGACTTGGTACTTGGTACAGATTCTTACTTGGACTCTGCTCTGCCTTATCAGTTTGACATTTTCCTGTTTACCAAGTCAGGAACCATTTCTACTTCTGTTCCAGTAAATGACTGTAGTATGGCTTTCCTATCAGCCAGTTTTTATGGCTTCCTCTTAAGCATGAAGCGTTTTTGGATTGCCTTTCTTATCAACCTAAATTGGCAAAATGTGCCTAGGAATAAAAAGTTTCAGAAGTGTAGAGCCTATATAAAGAACCAAGTCCTTTATTTGCCTAGTACTGATCATACAGGGGCTTGAAAAAAACATTTTGGAATTAGTCTTTCTAGGAATTAAGACCTGTGTTCTGTACAAAAACCTGTTTCCATTGGGAAAAACAAGGAGGTGGGGAGCTGAGTAGTTGTCATTAGCTAGTTCATTGTTAATGCTGCAGTAGTGTTTGGATAACTAAGCATAAGAGTAAATGGGTCCCTGTTACAGGAAAACTGGTATGCTAGGCTCTGTTACTAAGTATCATTTGTAACTCCCTCTCACTGTGTTGCTATCACTGTCTGACACTCTAAATATTTTAAACATACTTTCATTGGCCTGTGTTGTTCCTACCATGCAACTTCCGTAAGAAAATGTTGCAGTATACTAGATTTGTATTGTAATACAGCTTGCTTACCATACTATTCCCAATTTCTAGAAAAGCAGTCAAGTTACCTCGATTAAAAATGTCTCTTTATCTTCCCCTATGATTTTCTTCTTGGGATAGAAAAGTAGAACTGTAGTCTTACGAAAAAGCTGTTAATGTAGCTTAGTGTAGTTTCCGCCATTCTGTTGAAAATGAAGACCTACTGCTGTGGTTGACTGTTTGAATAAATTTACAGTGACAGTCTTCTTTTGCTAGTGCTTTTCACAGACTCTGTATTTGTGCGTACATACAAATGAAAATGAAATGAAAGAGGGGTCATCACCCCCCAGTTCCAAGTCTTTCCTTAAAAAGGGCTGTTATGTTGTAAATATTACAGATGAGAATTGAGGTACATAAAACAACTGCAGGGACATGTTTGCATGTCATGTTCCTGCATTGTAATAATTTCTGCTGTTCACTGACTGTGGTGAATACTAAATCAACCAGACCTTAATTGAAAATAAAATTTTTTTTAAAAGTGCAAAATATATATTCTAACACCAGAAAATTTGAAGCAGTTATCAATTCTTTTACATAGGATAACCATTAGATGGGCACAAATAGATATGAGCTGAAATTCAGTTTAAATTGAATTTACAGAAGAGCTTTTTTTGCATTGAGTAAGGACAAGAAGTAGTTGCCTGGAGACATGGAGTCTCCATTTCTGGATATTCAAAACCTTAACAGCCAGTGCTCTCAGCAATCTACTCTGTTTGGCCATGCTTTGAACAAGGAAGCTGGACTGGCTTATCTTGCAGGGATACCTTACAATTCTGTGAAGACAAATATTTCATTTGATATTGGCACAGTGACTTGCAAATTTTATTTTCTTCTTTCTGGTGTTATCACTTGAGATTTTTGTAAAATTTGTAACATGAAATTAATTTTCATTTCTAGTAATATATGATTACATACATTTCATGTCTTTGTCACGTAACACTACATTGCTTCTCCAATCCAGGATGCTAAGATTTATTACTTCAGTAAACAGAGTTTTATAACATATGTAATATTTATTTGGCAATGCCTCTGTTTCAAATTCTCCTTGTGTGGTTCTCATGGTTAAATATTAAAATGTTTAAAGTAAATTTCAGATAGGGATTCCTCATTTTATTATTCATTTCTTTGACATATTTCTTAATTTCTTAGGGGGTCTTAAAATAAGACATCTGTTAATGTTCTTCTGTTGTCTCTTCTAATGAAAATATGAACTTTCTTAGCTCCTAATTGATTTTTAAGCTATGTTCTTAGCATTAGTGAGTCAATACCTTCCATTTGTTTATATCAAAGATCTAATGCCCGTTAACTTTGATTCCATTTCTTCTGAGTGGCTGTACATTCTCAGAAGATTATATTCATATAAATATTTCTCTTTGCAGTGAGGAGCTACGGAAAGAAGTGCGACAGCTGAAACGTGAACTGCTGGAAGCAAAGCAGAAAAAAGAAGAAAGAGCTTTAAAACCCAAAGAGAAAGAAGGTAAGGGTTTCGTGTAGATCTCCAGTTAACATTGCAGTCTTTAAAGTTTTTTTAGTTTTGTGTTTTATGTGGATAAATTGTGGGCATTCTGTTCTTGAAATGTAGATTCTTTCCTTAAGAATAGTAGGAATGTAATGATGTCAGTATATAAGAATAATGTACAGGTAGCATTCATTCTTTCACATGAGGTAGTATTTCTCCTTCCGAATGTCCTTTATTACATGTGTGCTGTGACTTCTGACTTGGAAAGTATTCTTGACATTCTGACTTGGAAGGGTACTTAAATGCAGATGATTAACTTTGAACTCAAAGGTGCTGACTTCAAACGTTTATGTATTTTGGGACAGCAGTGGAACTCAAATTTAGAAAATTATTACCATATATTACCTAAACCTTAGCAAAATGGGATCTTCAGCTGCCCACTTCATTGTCAGGCAGATTTTATACTCTTTTTCTTTCTAAATGTGCATAAATTGTTACATTTATGATAGTATGTAAGGTGCACATTTTATTCCACGTGGATGTAACACCCTTTATTAGCTGAACTGAAGAAACAGAAGAGAGCGTTTTTTAAACACTCAAGTTGCGAGCTGTACATGAAATCTGGCACCAAATGTTACAAATTGGTGACTCTGAAAAAATTCTAGGAATCCTGCACAATCACTGGCAAGATAATGATTGGTGTCACTGGCCATATAAAAAAAGAACTGCGAATAGAAGTATAGAGGAGGTAAAGAGTAGTCCTTAAGTACATATATGATAAATTATCTTGAATAGTACCATATATACCAGTTCTTACACTATTGCTTAAACCTTATCTCCATTCCAGGTGGGTTAAGTTAGAGGACTTTGTAATTTAAAGAAAACCACCTTTACAGTGACACACTAAAGTAATACTTGGGCAATACTCATAGTTAGTACTGTGGTCCAGTTTGCAAGGCTACCTCTTATTCAAGCAAAGCCCGTATATACTCGGGTTGCCAGGGGTTTTATACTTTCTTTGAAATAAATAGCAAGTAGGAGATAAACCTGTTGAAAATCTGTAGGTAATGGCTAATGCCAAATAATCTTGAATTGTCTTGGTTTTCCTTTTCATTATAGGAAGGAGTCTGTTCCAGTACCTGTTGAGAAAGATAGATGGCAGGAAAGAACCTATTCAACTAGTTATTGGAGAACCTAACTAAAAATTCTGAAAATAAACATGTTCTAAAATTTAAGGCAAAATTAAAAAGACATTAAATGAGATGCAAGTGGTGAAGGATAAAATGATCAATAAAAATATAGCGAAAGCTGTTTCAGGTTTGTACCAGAAAACAAACTGAACATGAAGTTTCTTCATGATATGGCTGTCACTTGTTACGAATTCTTGCTGCAAGATTCTTGCTACAAATGCCTTAACTGTAAAAGTGCAGTTGTATTATTGCACTCAGTTCTAAGTATTGTACCACCAAAAAAAGATAATGAACTCATGAAATGGATGAATTGGATAAAAATTAACAAAGCCACCCAAAACTAGCAGAAGACTATGCGAACTGATTTATTAGAAGATACTTGAAGATATGTGTAATTTATGTAGGGAGTGGGATGGAAGGGTGGAATCCTAACTATTTAAAGAGGTTAAGTGAAAGGAATGAAGCATGCCTTTACTATGAAACAGAATTTACAGAGAATAATAGAATAGACTTTAGAAACAATTTATCTTGAATACAATGAACTCTTACAGCGGTAGAAGTTTTGTACCAAGTAATTAATTTTGCCCCTAAGTTAAAAGCATTTAGTATATCTCACTTAATCATTTTGTATTTATTGGCCTGAATATTCTTCAACGCCATAAAACTATCGACATGGAGGAAGTCTGCTAAAAGTATAATAGTTTACCTATTCCACATTAGTTTACATATAAGAAATTGCATATATTTAAAACATACTGCTATCAGGAAATTAATGTGCATGTAGCAGGAGGTCTTTCCATTGTTCTCTGCCTGTACTCTTGGGCAATGTGGAATGGAGAGTGAGTTGTGTCATGCTGTATCAGGTGAATCTGTGCAGATGGTGCAGACACTTGCAGTATGTCTGCCTATGCTTTTAGCTGGCTGCATTAGGAAAAAATGCTAGTTCAGAGGCTATGTAACCACATTATTATGATTCTGTGCTTGATTAAAAAACATTGCGTCTAAGCCAAGACTTGCAACCATAGTGGGAGAAATTCACTGAAGACTACAGAACTGTGAGAATAAGGCTTAGGTCATACTGGACTTGATGCAGGATTGAGTTTAATTCTGGAGGATTCTGATGAACTGGTGGCAGTGTGACACATCTATTTTAAGTTCACTGTCAGATCTATATTAGTATTGGCATCACATTTAGTATCACTTCTTCAAATTGTTCATGTGACATAGTATGCCTACCTAATATTTTTCTGTATTCAGAGATTAGAGTAATTAAGAAAGACTAAGGAGTGAAAATTTAAGTGTTTACATTGTTTCAAGAGGTCAGAGAAAAAAAATAAATCCCTCCATGTATGTTAGATTATAACCAGCCTTCCAATTTGTGAATAGTTATTATTGACTATGCCAGACTGCTGTCAACTTTAAATAAGATGTTTTTCTTTTATATGACATTTGTTGTAGTGATGCCAGAAATTACATCAAACACTACAATTTGAGTGCTGAATTACTTCAGCATTTTGAAGTACTTGGTCAAATATTTGAAAAAGATACACTTTTCAAAGTTCTGTAGTGTAAACCTGTGAATATACTTCAGTGAAATCTGCTTTAGACGAATAACGTCTGCCCAGTTGTTTTAACTATATGTTGGTTTAAAGTAATAGGAATATTTATTAAGTAATACTTTAGTTTTTCATGGTAGAATATTTTTGTAAATGGTCTGATATTCTGTGGATTATGAAATTGTTACACATGCAAAAACAGAAAAGCTACAAAATAGTCTGAGCACAGAAACCTTACAACTAATGTAAAAACCAACATTCAAGTGTAAAAGTTCTACTGAGGCATGCAGTATTTTCTGTTTTGTGTTTAATTGTGATATGGTAAGCAAATGATTTAAGTGTTAAGAAAATTCTCAAAATCAAGTGAGGATGCCAATGTAAGATTATGTTTTATTTCTGTTTTATTATTACATTTGGGTACTGTCAGGAGCACTCAAAGATTTAAGGTCTGTCTTACACAGAAGAATGCCTTCTTGAAGTCTGAAACTTTTAACAAAATTTTGCACCCTTGAGAACATTGTGAACACAACAACTTTCAAATTTAGGTGGTTTGGGAACTTCACAGCATAAATGCATTAAGTATGAAGATTTTTTTTTAGTCGATCCAGTATAGCTGCATTGTATCAAAGTATCCATCTTGGACGTGTCACTTTTGCAAAACTTTGTTTTCTTCCACTGTTTACAATTTTTTTTCTTTCAATTTCATTAAATAATACTGAGCATTCCCTATTCAGTTTCTTCCTTGCTAAAGTGAATGCTTTTTTCCTCATGTCTCTCTGTCTGCAGAAGAGGATAAAATCTCACTGTAAGCCTGCTTTGATTTTAGTAGTAATCTTAAGCATGTACTCAAAATCTGCTGACATTCAAAAATTAACTGCATTTTGGACTAGGACTGTGTACATAAAAGCTACCAAAGTTCAGAAAATATTTTCTAGAAACTTGCAGTTCATACTATTTTACAGATCTGCTCTGCTCTTTCCAATAAGTGTTTTGAAGCTCTAGGAATTACTTCTAAGGTTTTATTATTTATGTTGGCTAAATGAACTAGTAAGTTTGTTCTAGAACTGTTACTTTTTCACTGTAGAAAACTGAAAATCCAGTAATCAGTCCAACCCTGGAAGCTCATTCTGTAAGCCAATCTATTCAGTTGTTCACAGTTGCTAAATATTTCCTGACTCTTACCTTACTTCTTGGCAACTGTGTCTCTTCAGGATCAGCCAGAGCTATAGCAACAGTAACTGAACATTTCTTGAAGGTGCAAAGAAAACCACAAGTAGAACTAGTTCTGAACAAAAATATATGGGAGAGTATGTTATAAATTCTTTCAAGCATAAAATTATATTGTATAGTCATATACATAGTATGAAAACTGTAAGAAAATTTTTTCCTGAATTCTAGAAGAAGTGTGTTATTGTCTTGACTATTAATTAAGCCACTAAAGTGGCTTTAAGTTCTCCATTTGTCACTTCTGATAGGAATTCCATTTTAATTCCTGAAATATTAAAGGATATCAGAATTTCTTGTGTAATTCTTAAGGGATTTGTTTGGTTTGAAACAAACACAGCTTCTGTTTTCAAGATTTCAGTCTCATGAAGATTTTTTATGTCAGTACTACCTACCTCCATAATTCCAGAAGAATGCAATATAAACTGAATATTGATGAGCTGAAAGTGGAATATAATGCACAAATACAGGAATCTGGTTTAGGCCTCTTATTTTAATTCACTGAAACCTTCATCATAACTTCTGCCACTCCAAACAAGGAGTTTTTAAGGTTTTTACAAGTCTTTGTTTTTTCCCTTTGGTATTTAATCTAGCTCTGCCATGTATTTCTTGAAGTTTCTGTCCAGTAGGTCTTTTGTCATATGAAATGTGTCATCAAAGTTGCTAAAGAATGCATTTGAGATACTGAAGAAAATGTATGGGTACATCACACTTAAAACTATACACAAACCTTGCTAAATAAACTGGGATGCCTTTCATTATAGATATCTTTGTACACTCTCATTATCTTACCTTGGTTCTGCATGAACTCATGATTACATATGCAAAGTGCATTACAAGAGTTAATGGGATTATTTTTGTGCAGTCCAGCACATAAGGAATGTTTTGTAATGTAAGGTCTGTGTAAAAATCTTCATGCTTTCTTTTCATCAAGAAAAAACATAAACGAAAATTCTTTCACTGGTCATTGTCAGCACTATAGGCTCTTACTCTTCTCCTAGTGACATTAAACCTTCAAAATCAGCATGTATTTTTCTCTGTGACAGTATGTATTGTTTCTGCCCTTCAGAAGATTAGTCTGTTTCTGATAATACTTTCAGCAAACCAAACTCCTTCTTTTTCCAACAAACGTTTTATAAGCAGCTTCATTATCTCTTTTTTAAAAAGGAAAAAAAAATGTAGATTTTGTAACAGATTCTAATTACAAGTAATTTTGGTTTGTCAAAAAAAGGTTCGTGCTGTGGAAAATTTTATGCACACTGTCATACATTTGTGTAAAATTGTACCTTATCTGTGACACAGTTGGTGGACTTGCTAAGGCAAAGTTACCCCACCTGCAATGATAAAAATGGATCTCAGTCATTGAGGGCAATATGTGTATGAACATAAGCAGTGATTATGCTTTTCAGGCAACTGAACTAGAATTCATATTTCTTGGTTTCTATAAGGTAGAAGATAAAATTGCAGTTTCCAAAATAGAGCCTATCTGATGCAACTTCCGTTGAGTGTTTGTTATGCTGTTAAATTTAGCAGGTGCTTTAGGAGTTAGGTTAAAACTATCAAGCTTTCTTTTCTGCTTCACTTCATATTAGGGATTGATCCATCCCTAAGCCATCCCTAAACATCATTTCAGTTCAACGCCTTTGGATCAAGTTCTGTCTTTGTTATATTTCTGCTGTTTTGTAGTTATAGACTGACATAATTTGAACTGTTCCTAATTTAAGTGAGGGCAAAATAAGCTCTTCTGTATTTTTTTTAAAAATCAGTCTCTTCCTTTCTGTCTTAAAGACCTCAGAATCTCCTCCTTAGTTTCAGGCTATCATTGTAAACCATGTCCTAAAACCAAAGTCTTATGTTAGATTACACCATTGGGTTTGCATGTGTTCCTCCCTAGAGGAATAATTTCAGGATAGAAGAATTTATCTGAAAGAAAATAAATTACTTAAATGATAAAGTCTTTGTCACAGTAAGATGAGGAGTCTCTTGGTAGTAACTCAAGCTAGCTGAGATAAATAGTAATAGACTTACAAATTCTGTTGAAAGTAGGATGAAATGTATTGTCAATAGGGAGGGTTATCTTTTTCTTTTTTTCTTTTTCCTCACCTTCCTTACTGATAGAATGTACCCAGCAACTTGTTCAAACTAAAGGAGAGATTACACTGTGATGAAATGCTTCAGGGCACAAGTGTGCAAAATCCCTGTAACTTAAACTGTCATCTTCTGCATCTTGCAATACCTAAATTTAATTTAATTGTTATTTCACTTCTGTGTATCCGTGTCATGTTTTGTTAATTTTTGTCCAAAAAATCCTTTTGGGTTAAGGAGATTATTACCAAAGTCATGATCCTTATACTTTTGCTGAATCAGCAAACTGGACCTAAATTTGTCAAGCTTCATGTGTCTGTCAAGTCCATCATACATTGGTGTAGTTTCTCTTTTTTTAACTCTACTGCAAAAGATTTGGAGGGGATCTGGGAAGCCGACTGGGAGATATGAAGTAGTAGGCAGCAATCTGTTTTTACATTTAAAAAGGATTCTTCCCATTAACAAGAGTCTCCTCTGGACATTTTCTTTTGTTTGCTAATTACCACAGTTCATTCAGACACAAAATAATTTTTTTTTCAACATGAACTTTTAATGCCTGTCAAAAATTGAATATATAATTTATATTAAAAAGTACGCTGTGGTTTTGAAATTATTGGAGTTTTCAAGTTTTAAAATGTGTAAGAAACCCATTGACTTAGGGGCTTTTGAAAATCCTTCCTGTATAATTGCTTGCTTTTGATATGGAGTAATAGGTTGTAAGACCTCATGGAGAAATACAATGTCTTTAAGCCATTTTAATTAAAGATGCAGAAATATGATGCATACAAGTGCATGGCTCTTTTGATTGACTCATGCTGAAGTTAGTTCAAGTGGATCTGATTATCTTTTGTCTGTCTTATGAAAAGGCTTTCCTAGGAGACAGAGAGAATGAAGTTGAGGATTAGAAAAACTCTTGACAAGCAAAGACCAAAGAAACAATAATCTCAAGAGAAGGCTTTAACTGAAATTTTAATTATTTGTATTAACACACATATGAGTGGGATAAAAATACACAAACACACTACTGCAGAGGAATTTCACCCTTTTTGTATGAGAATTGTATTTGAGCTGCACTAGAGTAAATCTTAGTCAAAAGACCTATATGACTAGGGATCCCATTTTCTTAAATTCAGCATATGTATATCAAAGTGTGGATTGCAGGTTTAAATGTTTGTAGCCATTTTCATGCATATTCAAGAATACTTTTCTCAGTTCTTTTGATTGTCATAGGTGGGCAATTCTATTAATCGTAGGGTACTGTTTTTCCCTTCAAAGCACCCCTTTTTGTAAATGTCACCTGAAAGGTTGTTTTCTATAAAGAAGCAGATGGTTTTGTAGTTCAAATTAATTATCTAGAGGCTAAATGTTAGTAAACCAAGACAGTATGTTATTTCCACACAGTCAACAAGTTTGGATACATGCATTTATGCAAAAAAAGTGTATTGTCTTTGCAAGGGGTTGGTCTTGAATTAAGAATGGGATTTTTTATTAGTAGAAGAGATTGACTAATAGGGGAAAAGATGGAGCTGAACCACTATGATTGATAGTTTTACGCTGTACTTCTGTTCTTCTCAGTTCATTTGATATAATGCTGCATGAAATTTTATGGCAGATTTGATTTCATTCATCCAGCTGTTTAATCATCCCTAAATGTGTGTTTATATGCATTTATCTATTTTGGTCATTCTAGAAGATGGCTTTTTCTTTCTTGCTGGTACCTGTAATCCACTGTTCTTCATTATACGCAAAGTATCAACTGGAAAACAGCAAATAAACCAGCCGTGAATTGTATTCTCTGTATGTTTCATTTTCCTTTTAAATATGATGTAGCAATGTTTAAATGCTGTTTAAATGCAACATAGAAATTAGGATAAAAAGGAAATAATATATTTGCAGAAATATAAAAATATTTTAAATGTAGATACATCATTACAAATTTATTTCCTTTTATTATGAAGTGCCATGTTCATAAACTTCATAGAATACCTCAGTCGAGAGAGAAAATTAGTTTGGGATCAGGAGCTTTTTCTGTATAGCGGTAAGCAATCATCTAAAAAAAACCTGATACCAAGTTTGATTTAGATTTGCAGTGCATCAGGCTGCATATCCTGAAATTTGTTGAAACAATTTCTCTAAAAATGTTTTCTATTCATCATTTGTAGTGGACATCTGGAGGCTTTATTCTTCTGCTCATTATCAGGAATAACACTTCTGTAAATACATGTACATAATGTTCAAGAATACTAAATCAATATGTGAAATGTCCTGATGCTATTCAAGAGGAAGAAAATGTGAAAGGATGGTGTTGTTCATTTTCCCAATTCAGTTTTTGTCCCGTTAAGTTATTAATTTGTCATGGCAGTCAATATTCTGCAAGAGAAGACAATGTTAAAAAAAAGACAAAAGAGAGTAGCTGTTGACTAGTCTAGATATTAACTTGTTACCAATGGGGTTTTTTTTCTGACTGACAAAATGGACTCTGTTTCAAGTTTAAATGTTACTGGGTTTTTTTCCCTTTTGCAAGATCAAGGGTTTGGGTTGTGACTGCTTCAGCCTACAAAACAGGAAAACTGTGAACTTTTCTATAGGCTATATTTGTCTACTGTGTAACAAATAGTCACAAAATATTAGTACATATAACAGTTCATCTGCTCCAAGAAAGATCTTCAGAAATGAAGGTCAACTTGTTAAAGGAATTTCAGCAGTTTTCATCAGAGATTTTATTTCTGTTATCCTGCTTTCCCTGGCTCCATAGTAAAATAAAATTGAAACAAAAATTTCTTTACTTGTCTGCCCAGTACAGTGTTGTGTTTTTCATTTCAGCAAGTAGCAAATCATTCTGCTGCTGAGAAAGCAATACAACTGAAGTGTTTTATGGAAGTGTTTTTCTTGGTATTTCAGAAGTCAAAAATTATCTCCAAAAAGGTACTAAATCATTAAACCAAATTTAATTTGTTTAACCAAATATGTTTCCTTATTCAGAGGAGGAACCTGCTCCAAACAGTGTTGTTGAAGAATACCTTCAGGAGAAGAGAAGATATGAAGACAAGCGAAAGCAGCAGCCAAAGAAAGGAGCTTCTCGTGAAGATCAGGTAATAGTTTGATAGCCTGGGCAAAAAAAATACAGAGAAAGTTCTGAATATGTTTATCTCTTCATTTGTGTAAAAATATAGTTTTAAAATCTGTTTTTAATTTACCTTTCTAAGAATCTTTTTATTTGTAAAATTAAATATTTTAATTACCCAAGTAGAAAGATAAGTGAAGTGTCAATGTGTATTTGAAGCTGCTCCCAGTTTAGTCACTAAAATCTTCCAAAAGGAAATGCTAACCATGAAGTGGTATCCTTGATTACATTTGTGAGAATTTGCATTTCTACACAGTGCTTTCCTTGGCTCTGCAACTTGCCATAAGATAACACTGGGACAGAAGTTTGCATACTTGGCATCTCTTCTAGTTGGGGTTTTTAACATTTTAAATTATACTTTGAAGAGTACTCCTTGGTGTCATGCAATGAACAGGAATAGTTCATTAGTCTACTGTAAGAAGAGAATGCTTTATGAAATATAATGAAAATTATGTTTAAAAATTAGTTAGGATTTCCGTAGACTTTAGTATGCAAATATGAGCAATGTAAAGTTTGCTTTACAAAAACATTTATTTTTTTCTGAGATAGGAAAGTTTGAAAGTATTAAATATATGAAACTGCCTATGAAGTGGAAATTTCCTTCAATTTAAAATCTATGCAGCACATCAAATACATTGGTTTGTAAGTGCATGTCAGTTTAGCTACAAAGACGTTCCTATTCAAATGTTGAATCGAGAAGAGATTGAAAATTGAGGCTTAGTAACTTCAAAGCGGTGTTTGGCAAAACTTGATACATGCAGCAAGATGATTTAGCTCTAAACTAAGTAGTTTATGGAAACTTTGTACATTCAAAATCCTATTGTCTTTAATCAAAGAATACTGAAGCTCTGTTGGCAGTGTGGATCAAGGGACATAAAACCATGTCTAATGAATTTATATCAGCCCTGTCCTGAACATCACAGGAAAACGAGATGACAGGGATGTATATTTTAATAGATCTTAATTTTTATTTACATAACCCTACTGGAAACTATTCAACAATAATTAATCAAGTTTATCATCATCTGCTTCACTTGTGGGGTGCCTCTTCTAGTCTTTTGCCCCTTGTAATTGATCCTACAGGACAATACCATTTTCCATCTTCTATGCAACAGTTAAGGAAGAGGGGGAAGGGTATGTTTTCTTAAATTGCTAGATATTGAAAGTCCGAGCCTTCTAATTCTACAAGGGTCGAGTTATAACGTTATTTGATCCACACTATAGCATCTAGTCACTCACTACAAAAATGACTACTAAGATTTCAAAATTATTTCTGTCACCTGCTCTATTCACAGAAATGCTGACATCAGAGAAAATTAGACAAGACAAAAGGAATGTGGCTTTTGTTGGTTACAATTTCATGTTAAAAGGATTAGTTTCTTTTCTCCTGGTGGCTTAGGCAGAGATTTGCTGTCTCAGGTGTTGCAAGTGCAGTGTTTGTTTGCAATAGTATGGAAAACTATAGAACTAGAATGATTTGCAAGCCCAAATATCTTCAAAACTTTCCTCTCTTCCATCTTAAACAGAAGATTAGACAGAAAGTAAAGAAAATAAATGCAAAAAATCCCTCAAATCTGTATTTGGCAGTGCTAAAATATGTTTTTGAAAGAATTCAAAACCCAGGAAACTCTTCAAGTTAAGATTGCTCCCAGAAGGAAATTTGATTCCAGTGAACACTTCTGGTATTTCCTATTTCTGTTTTCTATTCTCGTTTAGTTTTTATTCTTTTAAATTTGAAAAACTTGACCAAACAAAACTACACAGCCATAGAGGTGTTTTACAACATAGGTTGCCAACCTATCACCTACAAATCAAATGTAGCCTGCCACATAAATTCAGCACTTATTCCCTGATGCTGTTGTTTCCAGGAATGTCTCAGATATCAGCAAAAGATAAGCTATGGGGTATACAAATTATTCGTATGCTCTGCCCTTTTTTTGTAGAGCCCTCCTCTCCCATTGCAAGGCTCAGGCATACAATTCTTGTATGATCAAAATCTCATTTCAGATGATCAGAAACAAGAGCTGTGGTATGATCTTCAGGTGTCATCTGAGATTTGATGACATCATTGTAACTGAAAGACTGGGCAGTATCAGCTTGAGAATAAAATAGCAAATTTAAATCAGTATGAGCTTTATGTATGCTGCATAAGGACCTGTATCTGCTGAATTGGTTAAGGTGGTTCATTTTATTTGAGTTAAAAGCTTTGAATTGTTTCAATGTCCATACATGATTTAAAATACCAATGTAAAGTGTGTAAATATCAAGTAAACTGGGTCTTCAAAGCTGTAATTTATACAACTGATTGTTTTACAAGAGGATAGAGCAGGTTCAGACACTAAAATTCATTGTCAGCAGTGTTAATCAGCTGTTTTATTCTGTAAATAGACACAAGTTTTTGTCCTTTAAATAGGCATTTTCAATTCACTGAATGGCCAGAGAAGTGCTCGTTCATTCCTGATGGGCCCACTCCCTGCTTGCTCTTGATGCCTCAGCATTGTTTGCCCACTCACATCATGAGTGCTCCCCAGACAATCTTGTTCCCATGTCCCCCACTGCCTCTCACTCTCTCACTTGCCTTTCTAAAGTGTTTCTTTTGAATTTATAGGAAAGATCACTTTTCCATCTTATTGTACTATTTCTCAAAATAATAAAGATGTATAGAACAATATACAACTTCTCTAAAACCATGTGTTTAATTTCAGACACTGGCACTACTGGACCGATTTAAATCAAAATTATCCCAGGCAATTGAAGAAACTCCTGAAAATGAGCTTTCTGAACCTGATGTGGATAATGACGAAGGATGGTGAGATTTTTTGATTTGGATTTCTGTGTTTGCCAATGAAAATCCTACTGCCTTAACATAGTCTCACTGGTAAGCATAAATTTGAGTAGCAGAAAAGACCAAATACAAAGATATCTGCTGCATCAGGAGTTGGCTAAAATTGGTTGGTTTAGCATTCTGAAAATAAGGTGCGAGAATAGAAGACATACAGCTTTTTCTTCTAGAACTCCGTGTTAAGGCTGATAAGTATTTTTAAATGATGGATGAGATGAACTGGGTCATCTGAAGTACGGGGTGACCCCAAGGAAGTGGAGTAGCACTGAAATCAGTAAAGCACTGCAGAAGTTATTACCTCAAACTTCCCAGTCAAGGAAGCAACTTTTGTACCCTGTTGTCTCATGTTCACCTTTCATCCAAACCACCCACCTTAGGTAAGCAAGGGGATAAAAATCACTATGATTTGAAGTGTGATCCTGAAGTCCTAGGCTGCAAGCTGTTAGATCCTTACAAAAAATATCTGCATAAATTGACTGGAAAAAAAGAAAAAAAAATCATAACAAAAATGTTTTGTAAGGATAGGTCATTTCTATTTGTAAGGCAAACATTATAGCTGGTCCAACAAAATAGGCTATCTCTGCCTACAACTTCTTCCTTAGTTGTATGCATAAACCATCACAGCTACAGCAAAACTACAGCTAAAATAGCAACTTTAACAAAGTTCTTGGCAAGTGTTTTAAGACAACCAATATTTCTGTATCTCAGATGACTTAAAATTATTTGATTGTTTCTTCAAACTATGTTTTCTTCCTTCATTATGTCTTTTTCTATCTCAGACTCTTTGAGGATGAGGGAAAACATAGAATATAAATTTTGAGATCCTTGGATTTCACTGATATTTTGAGATTCTTCTGAGCTGCTTCTAAGTTCTCCAAGAATTATAGATTAATTATTTCAGTTGGAAGGAACCTACAACAGTCATCTGGTCCAACTGCCTGGCCAACACAGGGCTGACCAAATTAAAGCATTTTATTCAGGTCATTGTCCAAATGCCTCTTGAACATTGACACAATTCCCTCTGGGCCTTCCGCTTTGACATATCTGGTTTACATATTAGTCTCTAACCAGATGACACTTCATTGCCACTGTGATGGATCTCAGCTAGATTTTGGGGAAAAGTCTTCTTGGCTGAGATTTTAAGCCAACAATGAGTGACTGAGTTCTGCCAGATAATCTCCATCTATGTCTGCAGCACTCTATACAGCCTTTGAGAAAGTGAAGAATGAAGTAATGATCTGACTCTTCCTTATTTGGACTGTAAGCAAATAAAGAAAACTAATGATCAAATAGTACTGAAGACATCTGACAAATCATTAAAAGAAAAGGATAAGCAATAGTTCTCAATATGGAGCCACAGGGAAAAGAATGCCTGGAAGAACTCAGATCAAGCATGTCTTTCTAAAGTACCCAGATGCTGTAAAAATGTGTCTGTCTACTAGTTTGCAGACATTTTTTTCTTACAAGTACCCTTTTTGTGAGCAGATACCATGTTTATTATGATACTTTGGAATTCTGTAGGGGAAATTAGATTTTGATTGCTGCAGACATACATATAATAATTCTCAAATAGCAATAGAGGTTGCAATAGAATGTCTCAGCAAAGATTCTGGTATTTCACGTTAAAACTTAGTATTATGCATTTCTCTTCAGTCCTCTTCACAACACTTCCTCAGATGTGTTCTTAGACAGCAAAATCTGGTAATAATTATCAAACACCATACACATTGTTTACAAGAGAGTCATATTTCTTCTTTTTTTTCTTGCATGAAAAGTAGAATGCTTCTGAAAAGTGCCTAAATGTCTGCTATGTGCAGAACAGTGCTGCTATTCATTTTATTTAGGACTTAGACTGCTGTACACATATAGTTGCATGCATGTGACACCTGTTCAGGTTGTAGTGACTCTTCATGGTTCTGATGATGATATCCAGTAGTTACAGCAGTAGTCAAATCCAAATTTCAGTCCAGAAGGTGTTGCAGTAACTGCAGATAATGAAACTAATGATGCAGACCCTATGAACATGACAAAATATTTTCCATAGAGAGAATCCAGCAATCAGAGAAAAAAATTCTGATGCAATCAACTACATACAAAGATTGACTGCTTTAATTAATCCATGCAAAATCTCTTCAAATAGGATAAGAGTGATACTTAGTACTCTGAAACATCCTTCCATCAAGTAATTCTGGGAGTTCTGAGTGCTTCTTTCAAAGTGTGAAATCTGAGACTAGATACAGCACTCAGCTAAGCCTTTGTCAGTGTTGAGTGGAAGGATTATTTCATTTGTCATTGTTTCTTTCATGCCTGGTTTCCAATCCTTCCTAAGCCACAAGTTTTTCCCTATTGAATGGTTGCCTGACCTAGCTCTGTCCTGTACCCATGCTGTTGACTGCTCTTATTGGAATTCAGCCACTGCACTTTCTGAATTGTATCCTATTTTTCAGACTTCTACTCTTGTTTGTCAAAATCACATGAATTCTAAATACTCCAATTCAAACCTTCATATTATACTCTCTGTACAGTTCTATAATTGTATTCTTCTCCAGTAAAATCTTAAGTGGAAATGAACTAACCAACCCTTACCACATTAAACTTTTCACTTTGACATTAGAACATGGCTACCTACTCCTAAAAATAGGGCTCTCCAGCTGAATTTTTACCAACCTTACATGCTTATGAAATGTAAGAGATATTTATCTACACTTTTCCAGATGGAATACTGGTCTTTTTGGAAGGAACAGATTCTCTGCTATAAAAATCCACCTGTCATGTCCTTAACCAGAATTCTGGATTTTCTTATATTCTTGTCTCACTGATCTTTGAAAACAAATGGAGGCTTTCTGCAACTGCAAGATTTATTGACATACTGAAGTATATCTAGTGCTATGACAGCTTTTAAGTTGATGGAATTTTCTGTAGTAAAGAAGCCACCACCACTTTCCTTCTTGAAAGCTCATCTGCTTGCCAAGTCAATTCAGCATATATCTATGAAGGGTCCCAATTGCTTGTGAAATCTCACAGATAAAATGCACAAAAAGGTTCAGGAATCAACTCCAGTAGTGTTCTTAAATTTAAAGCTTAATTGTCATTATCAAGTAACTGACAACTCAAAAGGATCAGCACTCCATGCCTTTCATGTACATTGTACATGAAACCAACCAAGTTTACAGTTCCTTATAAGACATGGATTGCAGTTGGATATGTCTATCTCGTATTGGCCTCATTAGCCACCAGCGTACCTGTAATAAATGTGGATAGAGCCTTCCTTAATCTTCATTTGCAAAGCCTAGCCATGATAAGACATGGAAGACACATAGGCTAGCAAATCATGGTGGGATTTTTTTGTGGATTGATTGAAAAGATGTGTCTGCCCATTGATTCTCTTCTTGGGACTGGTACTCTTTAATATCTTTATCAATGACACAGACAGTGCAATCAAGTGCACCCTCAGCAAGTTTGCAGACAACATGAAGCTGAGCAGTGCAGTTCACCCCATAGAAGGACAGGATGCTATCTAGTGGGACCTGGACAAGCCTGAGAAGTAGGCCCATGTGGGAATCTCATGGAGTTCAACAAGTCCAGGTGTATAGTGCTGCACTTGGATTGGTGCAATCCCAAACACAAGTAGAGACTCTTCACCTAGACTGGGAGAAGAACTCACTGAAAGCAGCCCTGCTGAGAAGGACTTGAGGGTTCCTGTGGATGAAAAGCTGGACATGAGCGAACAGTGTGCACTTACAGCCCACAAAGCCAATGGCATCCTGAGCTGTATCTAAAGAAACGTGGCTAGCAGGTTGAGGGAGGTGATTCTACTCTGATCTCTGAGACCCCACATGGAGTACTGCATCCAGCTCTGGATTCCTCAGCACAGGAAGGATGTGGACCCTTTTGAGCTGGTCCAGAGAAGGAACACAAAAATTATTAGGAGAGTGGAATACCTCTTCTGTGAGGAAAGGCTGAGAGATTTGGGTTGTTCAGGATGGAGAAGAAAAGGCTCTGGAGCAACCTTATTGTGGTAATTATTTAAGTAAATTAAAGGGGAATTAAAAATAAAAATAGGAAGAGTGACTTTTTACATGGGCAGATAGTGATAGGATGAGGTGGAATGATTTTAATTAAAGGAGGAGAGATTTAGATTACATGCTAGGAAAAAAATCTTTACTCAGAAGGTAGAGGCACTGGAACAGGTCACCTGGAGAGGTGGGAGGTGACCCACCCCTGGAAAGGTCAGGTTGGACGGGACTCTGAGCAACCTGATCTAGTTGAAGATGTTACTGCCTATGACATGGTGTTGGACTAGATGACCTTTAAAAGTCCTTTCCAACCCACGCCATTTTATGATAAGAACATCCCATTGGGGCAGTATTCTGTTCCTGCTTGAAAAGTATTTCCATGGTGGTAATCTGATTTCTGAGAAGCATGGTTTTATGTTATTCCATGAACTTCCGTGGACTTCATGGAAGATGCCCAATTCATTCTGCTGGACCTTCAGTATTCAGTATAGAAACTGAAATATTAGCATGTGAAAGCTGTTCTTACCAGATGAACATGATTATGTGAAGTGCATTTAAATTATTGTTGCCACCAGGGAATAAGCCAAAGTCTATATCATCCTCAGTAGAGGGATTTGGTCTGTTATTAATCCCATCAAGTCACACATCAGGGCTGCAAGTAGACCTCCAGTTGATTTTAGGGTTTGTGTTACAGTGTAGCCCGGTAATTTTTCTTCATTCTGCACCTGGCTAGAAGTTTAGGATTTCTTTTTCAGCATTCAGATCTCATCACTGGCCTCTATCTGCTCTCAGGAAGGCACTCTGCAGCCATTTAGAATTTGGCTGTGGCTGCCAGCATCCTACATAGTTCATATAATTAATAGCACATGATGCCAGTGCCTCATAATTGAACTACTGCAGTGTTTCCTGGGTGAAATGTAAGGATGTGAAATACAAAGCTTCTTAATCTTT